TAAGGGGGGAAGATCAACCAAAGGACTTACATGCAGGCATATAGGCCTAACCAATGGACACGGACAACGGGGGGGAGGGAGGGCATGGGGTGGGGGGTAGAGGGTAACGTGGGGACAAGGACACATATGTAATATCTTAATCAATAAAAAAAATATTAAAAAAATAAACATGTGGAAACTGAAATTAAAAACATGATGCCATTTACATTCACTCCAAAGAAATTCAAATATTTAGGTATAAATCTAACATAACGTGCAGAAGTTTTGCTAAAAGTTATAAAATACTAAGGACATAAGAAGAAACTTGAAGAGAAAATAAAAAGATGATAGAATTAAAACCAAGCATATCAATAATTACATTAAGTTTAAATGATCAAAGTATCTTAATGAAAAGGAAGAGAATGTCAGGTCAGATCAAATGCAAGACCCAACTAGAAGCTGTCTATAAGACATAGATAGGCTAAAAGTAGAAGGATAGAAAAAATATATACCATACAAAAAAAATACTTATGAAGGCTAGGAAGTGAATTTAACAAACAATTAGATAAAATTAGTAATATGAGGGCAAGCTGTCACTCCTGAAATAACAAAAAAAGAAGTTGGCACGTATTGGAGATTTCGTCTAAAAATGATTTAAAGAACTTTAGGAAAAATGAAAACAACCACCAAAGAAGGGATAAAAGAATATGGTGAATTATTAATAGTTACTGAAAACCAATAGAAGGCTAGATAAGATAGTGAAATTAAAAGTAAGTTGAGTCCTGGCTGGCATGACTCAGTGAATGGACCATTGGCCCACAAACCAAAGGGTCACAGGTTTAATTCCCAGTCAAGGGCATGTACTTGGGTTTGATCCCAGCCCTGGTTAGGCACGTGCAGGAGACAACCAATCTCTCTCTTGCTCTCTCTCTCTTTCCCCTCCCTCCCTTCCACTGTCTCAAAAAATCAATGGAAAAAATATCCTCAGGTGAAGATTTTCACAAACAAAACAAAAAAAATGAGCTGAGTGTGCTCATGGCCTCCCTCATCTCTCTGATGCTATGACCGTCACTGGGACAGTATCACCAGGGGTTCTGGCGTATCTTGGCTCATGGGAGCAGCATGCACTAACCATTTGGTTTAGAGGGATTCTCTCCTCATTTTTTAATGAAAAATCATTGAAATATGGTTTTGGACTACACTGCTATTTTCCATGTCATAATTAGAGCAGAAACTGAAAGTCACAAACCTCCAAGAAGTTCCTGCATCAACTCCAGATAGGCTGTGTCTGTTTTACTTATGATTATTGCAGTTAATTTTCCATTCTGATGGACTAATAATAGTTTGCTGTGTTTTTGTTAACATTTGTATTGGTTCTGCCGAATGTGTCTTGAGTTAAGTATTAATATAGTCCCTCCTCCCCTACAACATGAAAAGCTAAAGAGATTTAAGAGAATTTCAGGGACTATTTAACCAGCACTGTTCTAATTAGAAATCATACTACCTCCTAAGGACTTGGTAGTGATTATAACCATGTGTCATTTCCTTAAGAAGGTTAAAAGGAAGCCAAGATAATTGAGGTTAGATCATTTTTTTTAGTATGACTGTTCCTTTGGCCTCTTCACTACCCCCAATATGATCCCTTAAATTACTCAAGAAATCCTACTTACTTGGGGTCCCCAGGCCTCACTGACTGACTACCAGCCTCCTCTGTTACTGCTTTCCTGCTTCCTCTTTTACATTCCACTACAAAAATGCCCTTTGTCCCAATGTAAAGGATATGGAGTGCAGCAGCAAAGAAAATAGTAAATAGCCTAGGAAAGACAGTCTTAACAATGAAAACAACCTGCACCCCATATCTCCTCCACAGTTGCTAACTTATTTTTCTGCTCCCCTTATCAGCAAAACTCTTAATTTGCTCTTATTCACTCTCTATTTCCTCTCCTCCCACTCTTCCTTGAAACTACATTCAGCCTTTGATCACTCTTTCTTATTTGATACACTTTCTTCACATGGAATGGAATGATTCACCATCATTCTCTTCCACTTCAGTAGCTATTCTTTGCTTTGCGGGTCCCTCCTTACCTACCTGACCTTTGAGCAGTGAAGAGCTTCAAGGCCCAGTTCAATCTATCTCACCCCACCATGCAAAAGAATGTGTCATTATGAAATAAAAGATGGCAAGCTGGATGTGCACAGAAGTTTGGGGGACTGACAGCACAAGAATACAAAGCTTAACTCCTCCTCTGCAAGGCTTGGGCACAAAATTAACCAGGAAGTCACATTAAAGAACTAACAATGTCAATCTAGAGGCAGTTAAAAAGATGAATCAGGCATACATCCTACCCTCCAGAAATGTATAGTCTGCTGAGGGGGAAATGAAAAATAGTTACAAAATAGGGACAAAATGGTGTCATCAGAGAAATGATAATTAGAAGTTATGAGAGCTCTGAAAAATAGAGCAGCTTTTAAAAGTTCTACGAGACTGAGTTATTTCTGATTATTTTTACTGCATGCTTTCAAAATAATTACATTTCTTAATTGCCTCTATTATCAAATAGAAATTTCTAAAGTTTTCTGTCCCTTATTCATGCTGTTCTCTATACTTAGTCTTACAGGCTCAGTTGGAAAGCCTTTCAATTGAGAACTATTCATCCCAGCAAACCTAAAGAACCCAAGAGAAACATAACTATAGATTAATATTTACAGAGAAAAAAACTTTATTGAATTTTATTAAAGAGAAAGAGGTCAAAATTGAGAAATAAACATATGGGACACAGGGGAAATAGGGAGAGGTTGCCCCAAGCAGCTTGCAGCTGGCAGTTGGCTCAACTGCAATCAGAAGCCAGGTCTGTCTGATTCCAGAGCCCATACTTTTTTGATGTGTAAGCCTGGTCTCGAACATAAATGCACATTTAAACTGATTATAAAAGAAGGGCAAGGTACCAGTGGGAAAAACAAAACACATCCAATTTACAAGAAAAGGGGGATTGTTGGTAGAGCAAGTCCCTTGGAAGAACTAGAGAAACACAAGACATCCGAAGAGGGTACATCCGCTGAAAACACTGTAAAAGCATAATGGAAAGAGAGGCAGAGTGTTTCTCTTTTAACAGCAGAAAGACAGAAACTGTCTTTAAAAAAATGCCCTATTTTGGGTTTTTAGTGAAGTCATTATTGTTTTCTTTCCGTTTCTATATCTAAGGGATAAATGACACCTATCTCCCCTCTTTTCACTTAGGCTAGAGATTTTTTATTCCTGCTCCGTGACCTCTCGTTCCTACTCCACTCCCATTCACACACCCCTCACCTGCTCCTGCCCTCAGCTTTTCCTGAAATCATTGTGTCTGTTAGTCCTAATCTACATCAATCTTAAAAATGATTAAAAACCCTTTTGGGATGGGCTCTCGCCTGGTCCCCAATTTCCAAATTTAAAAAAAAAATGGTGAAACACCAGTTTTTCTTCAGTTTTCCTGGACCTAAACCCATAGAGTCTAATCGAATTATTTGATTGGTGTTCTGACCAGCAGCCATTAGCTCTGAATATCTCTATGTGGGTTTTGATTGTCTTGTGAATATACATTTATATTTAACTTTACTTTTTAAAAATCCCTTACAGTTATGCATTCAGTAAGTGTCACTATCTCATTGACTACCCAACTTAATCACAGCTATCCAAAAAATAGAGATGGATGGATGGATGGATAGACAGACAGACAGACAGACAGATAGATAGATAGATAGATAGATACTAGAAATAGGACAGAAATATTCACCAAAACTCAACACATTTTTTAAATGCAGAGATTTTCAAGCTTTGCGATGGTGTTGCTTCACAGTCGGTGTACTGTATTACTCTGAGAACAATCTGCCACGAACATCAAAGTAACCTGATAAGCTTTTTTCTCTCTTTTCTCCATAGAAGTGCACAGTCAGATATATAAAATGTCAAAAATAATTAGACAAAATCGAGCAATCCCACTGAGACACTAAAATATCTCTGGAGTTGAATATTTGCTATGAAACTATAAAATCTGGTTTGAAGGATACTTATTACAAACAAATATAATTTTTCAATGCAATGATCCCAAATAAGCATGATATAATGTGAACATATTTTTTCAAATGTAAAAGAAAGCCTTTTATATATAAATGTGTACTGTGTATAAAAGAATAAATATAAATGAAAAAGAAAACCAGGTGGAAAACAGACTTAAATTTGGTAATGTCTTTATCAAAAAAGAGTTTGGGTACTTAAAAAAAGTATCCTTTGAGGAATAATGTAAAGATGAAGTTTACATTTAGAGAGGGGAAAAAAAGTTATGTCAAAATTGTGTAAACATTTTATTAATACCAACATATTATCACATAGTACAGGAAAAACAACATGGCTTTTTCATTCATTAACCAGGAGCATACTATTTTCCAGGACCCCTCCATTCAGAAGAGATGCTGTGGTGCTTTCCTTTACCCACCCAAAATGGAACACAGGAGACTACATAGCTGAAGAAATTACAATCTCCCCACAAATGAGGGACATTCAAGTCTAAGTAGTTTCCAGCTGAAGGAAAAATAACCAACAGCTTCTCCACAGGATCGACTGGAACGGGGAAAACATGAACATCACTAACTGTACCACAGAAGCCAGTGTGGCTGGGAGAGCCAAGACCATCACTGAGAAGATGCTCATCTCCATGACTCTGGTCATCATCACCACCCTGACCATGTTGCTAAACTTGGCCGTGATTATGGCCATCTGCACCACCAAGAAGCTCCACCAGCCTGCCAACTACCTGATCTGTTCTCTGGCCGTGACAGACCTCCTGGTGGCAGTGCTAGTCATGCCCTTAAGCATCATGTACATTGTCATGGACAGCTGGAAGCTAGGGTACTTCATCTGCGAGGTGTGGCTGAGTGTGGACATGACCTGCTGCACCTGCTCCATCCTCCATCTCTGTGTGATTGCCCTGGACCGGTACTGGGCCATCACCAACGCTGTTGAGTATGCCAGGAAGAGGACCGCCAAGAGGGCAGGACTGATGATCCTCACTGTCTGGACGATCTCCATCTTCATCTCCATGCCCCCTCTGTTCTGGAGGAGCCACCGCCAACTCAGCCCGCCCCCGAGTCAGTGCACCATCCAGCATGACCATGTCATCTACACCATTTACTCCACTCTTGGGGCATTTTATATCCCCTTGACTTTGATACTGATTCTCTATTACCGGATTTACCACGCAGCCAAGAGCCTTTACCAGAAAAGAGGGTCAAGCCGGCACTTAAGCAACAGAAGCACAGACAGCCAAAATTCATTTGCGAGTTGTAAACTTACACAGACTTTCTGTGTGTCTGACTTCTCCACCTCAGACCCTACCACAGAGTTTGAAAAGTTCCACACCTCCATCAGGATCCCTCCCTTTGACAATGATCTAGATCACCCGGGAGAGCGCCAGCAGATCTCTAGTACCAGGGAGCGCAAGGCAGCACGCATCCTAGGACTGATCTTGGGTGCATTCATTTTGTCATGGCTTCCATTTTTCATCAAAGAGTTGATTGTAGGTCTGAGCATCTATACCGTGTCTTCTGAAGTGGCCGATTTTTTCACATGGCTTGGTTATGTTAATTCTCTGATCAACCCTCTGCTCTACACTAGTTTTAATGAAGACTTTAAGCTGGCTTTTAAAAAGCTCATTAGGTGCCGAGAACATACTTAGATTGTAAAAAACCAAAAGGCATGAATTTGACCAGCCTCCTGAGTAGACGGGGTTAATTCTTGGACATTGTTGATTCAGAGCGTTTGTAAGTATGTGTGGTCTTGTTTTTTTTGTTTGTTCCGTTTTGTTTGAGGCTCGTTATTTGGTGTGCTGTTTTCTACTTCCGGTCCTGTTTGTGGTACATAATTTCAAATAAACATTATCCTACAAAAACAGATATTTCATAAAAGTAGTAATAAAGTGAACTAGTAAATACTTTTTATTAGCCATTTCAGTGAACCCTGCAATTAAAGAATGTCAAAATAAATCTTTATTTGCAGAATTTCTTATTACTTATAAATCAAATCTCTGATAACTGGTCCTCATGTGGCATTAAATCCGAGGTTATCGCTCCAAATGCTTACAGATTCCAAGGAGGATTGCATGACTACACAAAGCACACAAAAGGGGTGTGCTGCCATCTACTGCTTGCAGACGTGAGCCAAAACCTTTCACTGTGACTACATAGCTCACTCCTTTCAAGCATAAATAGTACAGATAGCATGCCTTTTCAGTTCCTGGTTATATAAGCTTCATCATTCTCTAAAAAGAGCCTAGAATGAATAATTTCCTAGGTCTTTGATTATGAATATAAAACACAAGCAAATAAGAAATAATCTAAATCTATGTTAGTCAGTGTGTTGCTATATTACCTGAAAGACACAGGGGGTCTCCTCCCATTCTAAGTGCCCCAGCTAAGCCTCAAATACATTCTCTCACTCCAGCAGGATTAAGGTGAGAATACATGTCAAATTTGGGGAACTTTGACAGCAGCTGAATGGGTGCAGTGTTTAAATGAGGGGATATATTATCTGAAGAACTTTATTGAAGAATGTTACTAACGCAATTGTGCAATTGAAAAAGAAAACTAAAAGTTGAAAATTTATGTTTATAGCAAAAGCCACCCATCAGGAAACAAGTGTGGAATTGTGTCTCCTAGAATCTCCACGGCATCCATGCCAGGAGGCTGGATGGGGGGACATGTGGCCACACTGTGGCCTGACTCAGCCTCCCCTGGCCTGTAGTGACCACTCTAAGTCATGTGGAGGAGCTCATCACTATATCGAGAGTGATAACAGAGAGGACAGAAAGTTTGTAAATTCTTGTATACGCCTAAGAAAGTGACTATTCTAAACCTCTCCTCCTTGTCTTTCACCCACAGCCTCTCCTTATCTCTTCAGTCTCCACAGATCATCCTTTTACTTTGTTTGCCAAGAACACATTAATTTGCCCCCTCCACCTCCACATTTTAGCCCTTAACTCTATCCCCCTCCCAACCCTTCTTTTTTCTTTTTTCTTTTTTCTTTTTTTTAATCCTCACCTGAGGATATTTTTCCATTGATTTTTAGAGAGAGTAGAAGAGAGGAGGAGAGACAGAGAGAGAGAAACATTGATGTGAGAGAGACACATTGATTGGTTGCCTCCTGCACACGCCCCAACCAGGGCCAGGGATTAAGCCTGCCACCAAGTACATGCCCTTGATCAGAATCAAACCTGGGACCCTTTAGTCCACAGGCCAGTGCTCTATCTACTGAGCCAAACGGGCTAGAGCCCACCCCTTCTTCTTTAATCTCACATATTAATTTGCTCAAGCCTCTTGGATACTAGAGTAAACTTCCTGTGGCCCTTGTACACTGCCAGATAACATCTTCCTGGAACAGTGATTCTCAGAGTGGCATCTCCAGACCAGCAGCATCAGCACCATCTGGAACTTGTTCAAAATGCAAAATCCAGGGCCCCACGAAGACCTATTCGGTCAGAAGTTCTGAGTGGGGAGCCCACCAATCTCTGTTTTAACAAACCCTCCAGGAGATTCTTGTGCATGACAAAGTTTAAGAATCACTATCCTAGAGCGTGCCATGGATTTTTAACTGCTGTACTCAAAATCATCTACTATTTTCCCATCAGTATAAAATAAATTTAGATTCCTTAGTATAATATTCAAGGCTCCTTCATATGTGGCCTCAAACTACCTTTCTAAAGTTATATTTTACCACCTCAAACTCCAGAAAAGTCTGGGTATTTCCTTGTTTCCTGAGCTCCCCTAATATTTTTTCCCACTGCTTTTCAGAAACTTGTCCCTGTGCCCTCCCATCTTCTTCCACAAATTTTTCATCATGTAGTTCAAATGCAATCTCTCTGGCAAGTCTTCCTGAGCCGCTGCTTCCTTCTCTGTGGAAGTTCTCTCTCCCAGCTCTCTGTCCCCATAGAACTCACCTGTATCTCTATTACTGTAGCCAACCGATCTTGTAGTGCATTTGTTTGTGTATTTCTGCTTGTTTGTGAGTTTCTTCAGGACAGGAACTATGTCCGTTTCAACTCTGTATCCCTCAGGACTCCTACTGTGTTTTACACACAGCAGGCACTCAATAAATATTTATTAATGTGATTGAAATTATGTCCCTGGAAGAGAAAAATGTAAATGTGCCATCTTCTCTCAGTGAGAAAACCAAACTTCTAAAATCTCATGATGCAATGCTGATTTTCTTTTTCCTCAAATTCCCAGCCGTTTAAAAAAAAAAAAAAAAAAGCTAACATATGCTTTCACATGGAAAGGAAATGGAACTTTTCATTGAATATAAATGAATGTCCTTTATTAGTTAAGATTCAGGTTAAGCTGCTCTTAAAGACAAGACCCCCAAACGTAATAGACCAGATAGCTCCTCTCTCTCTCTCACATGATGGTCAAGAAATAAGAGGGAAGCCAGAGTGAATAGGCGGCTGTACTCCACAAAGTCACCCAGGGTCTCATGTTCCTTCCATCTGTTCTGCCTTCCCCTCGGGGCTTGGCCTCACCGGCATGGCCAAAACTGACTCCCCATCACACCCACACTCCAGCCCATAGGCAGTAAGAGAGCAAACAATTTCCTTTTAAAAAAGTCGTACACACCACTTGTACTTGCATTCCATTGGCAATAACTTGGTCATCTGGCCACACCAAGTAGTAAGAGAGAATAGGAGAGTAAAGATCTAGCTGGGCAGACATGTGCCTTGCTAAAAATGAGAACCTTATAATAAAAGAAAGAAGGAGAGGATGCATACAAGGGGACAATGGGCAATCTCTGCCACAAGGGAATATGGGTTTCTGTATGTGCGGCTCAAATATTACTGGGCAGGTCAAATGGCTTCCCAGCTCATGGTGATCTACCTATAAGGATGTTGAGACTTAAATTACAGGTGAATTGACTGAGGTTGTGCATTAGCTGAAAACCCAGTGTTTATCATGACCATAATATTTGTAATATCTAGAAATTATATGAGGAACTCATTTGCTTCCTCATCATCCTCCACATAATATCTTGGCAATGATAAGAGTTTTTAAATTTTATGAGTCTAAGTAAATAAAAAGCAAAAGGGAGACGCATAACTAATTTTTACTTACAGCTCATTTCCAATTTACTAGATAAGTCCCAATCAAAGGCATTTCTCTCACACCTACTTCTGCCATTAACAAAGAAGAATCTCTATATATTTCCTTATAAATCAAACCCATTGAAAAAAATCTGTTGTTTGATTTAATTATTTAGCCAATAGGGCTATGCTAGCTACTATTGACCACTTCTTGCCCCTTTACATGAAAGCTTGAGTGAAGTAACAGAACCTTCTATGTCTGTTTTTCCAGTGTAAACATTAACAGATTAAAAGTAAACTCCAGAGGTGAAATTTTAATCACCTCCATTAACTTATAAATTAGGACTTCCTGGTTTGTGTACTTAGTGAAATTCTTGGACAGAAGTCACACCCTTGTAGACCTGGTAGATACTTTGATTATAACTGGTAGCAATAAGAACCCCTATTAGCATATCTGCTTTGGATACTGTATAGACCTCCTATACCTAATGAACTTCAGTTTGCAAACTGATAATTATATACAAGGTAAGTTTGAGAGCGAGATCCAACAACTGTGCTGGTTACTAGCACAAGGCATTTTAGTTTGAACTATCACATTGGTCTTAGTCTGCTAATGTGTGTTGGCTGTGTTTGCTTTGTTTTTAAGGTCTTCTACAAACAACAGATTTTAACTTTGTTACAGACAGTATTTACAAATGTAGTGAGAGCATCAGAAAATTTAGTGAAAAGAAGCATATGACTACAATAAAAGTACAAGTAAAGGTAATTTTTTATTAAAAGAGCTGAGAAAATGACAACCATTGTATATAAGAACATGTTCACATTTGGTTTGGTTTTCAAGGGCCACCATGCTATATATGAAAAAGCACTCTGTCTAAATTGTCTATAATAATAACAGTGTAATATGCAAATCAACCAAATGGCTGAACAGTGGAACAACCATCCAGACAACCACGCTTTGACACCCACTGGTGCCAGGCCAGCCAAGGCGGGTGCGATGCGATTGGTCAGAGGCCATCGCTCCATGATCGCCCCGTAGAGGCAGGCCCAGACCACCAGCCAGCAGGGGGCTCCACAATTGCCCCAAAGAGGGAGGCCCAGGCTACCCCTGCAGTCCTGCATATTACACTGTTATTATTATAGACAATTTAGACAGAGTGCTTTTTCATATATAGCATGGTGGCCCTTGAAAACCAAACCAAATGTGAACATGTTCTTATATACAATGGTTGTCATTTTCTCAGCTCTTTTAATAAAAAATTACCTTTACTTGTACTTTTATTGTAGCCTGGGCCTCCCTCTACAGGGATGATCCATCCTGGAGCCCTGGATGGGTGGGTGGGACCTACCTCTTAGGGGCAATCGATTGCAGGGCTCCCAGACTGAGAGAGGGCACAGGCCAGGCTGAGCCTCACCCCCCGCCCACCACAATGCATGAATTTCATGCACCAGGCCTCTAGTAGACTATAATCAGCTGGAAATAGGGAAAAGTGACTAATGAGATGGGAAAAGTCTGATCATTAAACAGTGTTTGGGAATATGTGTGGGCATGTTTAGTTATGCCAACAGAGAACACTAATAGCATTTTGTGGTAAGAGACCAGGAGGCTAAATCCTGCAATAAAAAAGAAGTCAGGTCCACTCAATTAAAAATCGCACTACCTCAAATGCCAATATGACTCCCTATTAAGAAACTCAGGAGTATCAGCATCAACATGGGATGCTCAAAGCTGAATGTTAATTCAGGTGTCAGATAGGGGTGATTTGAGAACTCAAAGTCTGAACATGGTGAAAGTGCTGCTTATGAACTGTGATTATAAGCCGTG